AAGAATGAATTCTAGGAACGATGGACGTTAAGAGTAGAAAAATTTATCTAGGGTAAGAAATCTAATAGTGATACAAGGGGGACCAGAAAGTGGGCTGCCTGTGCACCTCACTTTTCAAAGATGTTTTATGCACCTAAGCCGTCTGGCAAGGTGCGTTCAAAGTGGGACAAAACTATAAGACCCAATTAGAAGGTGGATATGAGGTTGTGCAAAACCATGACCAAGCAATAGGATTACAGGTAGTCACCCAGGTAATACTGATCAAGTGTGGGTGAAATAGGTGAGAAGTCTCATAGCAAGCAAAGAAAGATTTTCACTAAGGATGGACCCCAGCGATATTTACTGGAAAATCTGGTTTAGAATTTGGCCCCCACCCACGTGATATCTATTTAGAATAGCAGTTATTGTGTTTTATCCACTCAGGAAGCACAAGGATATAGTAGTTTTTCTAGTTTTATAATTCTGACATTCAGTGAATGTTTGTTGATTGTATTCCATGTTGCATCCATGCTGTCTTAGCTTCTTCAGGGCTAGCTACTTGGTGTTCCTGTCTAACTCTCTACAACACATCTAATTATCATATCTATCTGCAGTTATAGGGTCATCTGGTTGCTGCAGTGGATTGGTATTAGGAGGTGGGAGTGAAGATAGTGGTTATTGGGGGTGTACCCTGGTAAGGTGTATCTGTCCTCCTGGTTTTTCCCTTTACTTTTGGCTTCCTGACCACCATGAACTTGTGATCATTTTAGAGTATCTGTTTGGGTTGCAAGTGAGTCATTGTTTGAAGTATCTCCAGGTGCTAGGAGAATTTCTACTGCTGGCCTTTCTTAGTACCTCTAGTAATTTCTGAGCTTTCATAAAGGTATTTAAAATCAGTCATGTACAAAGAAATGGCTGGCATAAAACACTTCCATTGTAACTCATGGTTAATAAAATGAAATTCTAATATAGAATTGGAGAAAACCTGCCAGGTGAGTTTGCAGCAATATGTATTCTAGCTACTCATAATATTTAAAGAGTAAGATGCCTTGTTTATGTCTATCCTATGTATTATGATTGATATTGCTTAAAAATAAAAATTAAAAAAGAAATACTCATGTGTTACTCTCTGATGAACTTCTTGCCTAGCATGTAAGTGCTTGTGGCTTTGATATCTTGTACTTACAATCAGTCATTATGGGAATCCATGCAGGGGGTTGAATCATAGGTGTCTTTATGCCCAGTTGCATGTCTATCATCGAGGTATACCAGACATCCCCAAAAAGTGTTTTTATTAGCTGGGGTCTATTTGAGTACTTCCTTTCCATTGTTCTGAGGATTTAACCAAAGGATGTCTACTGTGTAGGTAATATGCACTCTTGATACTTAACTATATTTATAGGTGTTCTCACTTTTAGACAGTTTCTTACAAGGCAGGGGCTGCCTATATTTTGCAATCCTGTCATCCAGCCTTTTCATATGGGTGTTTTTTTTTTTTTTTTTTTTTTTTTTTTTCTACTCCTAATTCTGAATGCTTCTAATGCAGTGGTTGACCTCTGAAAAATCCTTATTTTATTACATGGTAATATTGTTCTTACTACATAGTTCTTACCATGGTTCTTATTACATGGTAAATTTCCTCGACCTCCTGGCCTTTTATATTGGCTAATGGGAAAAGTACTCATTAAAAGCACATCTTGCCCTGCTTCAGGTTTTTATGAAATATGATGAAGTATAGGATAGAATATGAATATGACAAGTTCTTTCATATTAAATTGGGTTCATTCTGTTTTGTGTTTTTGAATGACGAGGCAGGTGACAGAACCACTGAACTAAATCCCTGGCCCTGAGTAATGTTTTTGATGTGGCTGTCTACTCCTAATTCTGAATGCTTCTAATGCAGTGGTTGACCTCTGAAAAATCCTTATTTTATTACATGGTAATATTGTTCTTACTACATAGTTCTTACCATGGTTCTTATTACATGGTAAATTTCCTCGACCTCCTGGCCTTTTATATTGGCTAATGGGAAAAGTACTCATTAAAAGCACATCTTGCCCTGCTTCAGGTTTTTATGAAATATGATGAAGTATAGGATAGAATATGAATATGACAAGTTCTTTCATATTAAATTGGGTTCATTCTGTTTTGTGTTTTTGAATGACATTGTTCTCATTCTTCAAGGTGATTTGAGATCTATCATTAGAGCACAATTATAAAAAGGTTGAGATAAAAGTGTAGAAGTTGTCTTTATCTGTTGTGGACTTGAAAAGTTTCATGAGACATCAATATTTGATGTTCTAGCCATTCATTGTGACACAGTAACTGTAGACCAGATTTGTGTTGGGAACATCTTAGGTATTGAGCATAGATTCCCCATACTATCAGTCTTACCTTGTTCTTGTGCCAATTTATGGATTGTCATAGGACTCAGTGGATTTTGAGGATGTGGCTGTGAAGTTCACCTTTGAAGAGTGGGCCCTGTTGGATCCTTCACAGAAGAGACTCTACAGAGTTGTGATGAGGGAAACTATCAGGAACCTGGCAGTAGTGGGTAAGGATGATGTTATTCCTTAATTTAGTGAATTACAGAACAAATATTCCTTGCTGATCTACTGTGTCATGTAACATCTATGATGGGATATTTGCAAATTCTGGGGAAAAATTATTTTAGTTCAAATGTAATTATGCACCTAGAATTATCATTTTCTGTATTTTCTTATTCAAAATTATTTATGGGTGTTAATTTCAGAGACAAAAGAGAAAGACCAGAGGATTGATGATGAGCACAAAAAGCAAGATGGAAATCCCAGGTGAGCTGCACTCACAACAGTACGTAGTGAGTATTAAGAAAATTTATGTGTGTAATAAATTTCAGGAGTAAGTGAGAAAAACAGTGTGTCCAGACCTAATGGCTTATCTGAAACTGTATTTAGTAATTATATAAAAATATCAGTTTTTTAAAACAATATTGTGAATACTTTTATATAAACATGCTTTTTCATGTTTTTCAGTTTTTTTGTTGTTGATCACTGTTCTATATTGCCTCACCCCACCCTGGTCTCAATTTTTTGGAGGTAGAGTTTTTGTATGTAGGCTACACTATTTTGAATGTGCCATATTAACTAGGCTTTCTTGGAATGTGTCCTCTCCTCTGTCAGCTCCGTGACTGCTGGGATTAGAGGTGGGTGCTACCCTACCCAACTTTTTGCAGGTATTTTAAAGGTTCATTTTGAGATGTGGTATTGCTAATTTGACAAGGCTGACCTGGAACTTGATATCCTTGTGACTCAGACTCTTGAGTAGTTGGAGTTACAGGCATGGGCCACTGTGCCTGGCATTATTATTATTTTGATACTAGTGATGGTTAAGTGCTTTTCAGAGGTTTTTATCCATTCCCTTTTAAACAGTTTATACATAGAAGAAAATTTATATGTCCCCTGAAAGCGAATGTAATTTTAAATATTCTCAAGATATGAAGTTGTGTGTTTTTTTTTTTTCAGCTTTAATTGAGTTATTGGTACATTTTAGGGATACAGAACAGTTACATTCATTGTTGGTTTTTAAACCACTGAAAATGTGCTACTTATTCTTTACAGAAGTTATATAGTGGAGAAACTTGGTGAGAGTAAAGTAAATAATGTATACTGGGCAGAAACACTATGAATGCACACAATGTGGTAATGCCTTCACTTTTAGTGTCCTCAGAAGGCATGAAGAACCCCACATTGGAGAGAAACCCTATGAATGTAAACAGTGTAGTAATGCCTTCATTTCTTCTAGTGCCCTCAGAAGTCATGAAAGAACTCACCCTGGAGAAAGACCCTATAAATGTATACAATGTTGCAAGACCTTCACTACTTACACATACTGCCAAATGCATGTAAGAACTCACACTGGGGAGAGACCTTATGAATGTAAACTGTGTGGAAAGGCATTCACTTTTCCTAATGGCCTCCGTCAACATGAAAAAATTCACACAGGACATAAACCATACAAATGTGAGAAATGTGGAAAGGCTTTCAAACATTCCAGTTCCCTAAAAGTACATCAAAGAATTCACAGTGGAGAGAAACCATATGAGTGTGGTCAATGTGGGAAGGGTTTTGTTTCTTCTTCTTCTCTCCGTGTACATGAAATCATTCACACTGGAGAAAAACCTTATGAGTGTAAACAGTGTGGGAAAGCATTCCCTTTTTTCCATGTCTTACAAGTACATCAAAGAATTCACACTGGAGAGAGACCCTACAAATGTAATCACTGTGGAAAGGCTTTTGGTTCTTCCAGTCCTTTAAGAAGACACGAAAGAACTCACACTGTGTTGAAACCATATAAGTGTAAACACTGTAATCAGAGCTTTGCTCGTCCTGTTCTGTGTGAAAGGCATGAAAGAACTCATACTGGGCTGAAACCATATGAATGTAAACAATGTGGTAAGGCCTTTGGGTCTTCCAGTAACCTCAAAAGGCATGTAAGAACCCACAGTGGAGAGAGGCCACATGAATGTAAACGATGTGGAAAGGCGTTCAATTCTTCCCATATCCTCAGAAGACATGAAAGAACTCACACTGGAGAAAAACCCTATAAATGTAAGCAGTGTGGTAAGGCCTTCACTTCTTCCAGTTATCTCCCAGTCCATGAAAGAATTCACACTGGAGAGAAATTATACAAATGTACACAATGTGGAAAGGCCTTTACTTCTTCCAGTATTTTCAGAAGGCACGAAAGAAGACACACTGGAGAGAAACCTTATGCCTGTAAGCAATGTTGTAAGACTTTCATTTCTTCCAGTGCACTCCGATATCATGTAAGAACTCACACTGGTGAGAGACCCTATAAATGTAAACAATGTGGAAAGGCATTCCCATTTTGTAGTGGCCTCCGTGCGCATGAAACTATTCACAAAGAACAGAAACACTACGTATGTAAACAGTGTGGAAAAGCATTTACTCGTTCCTATGCCCTCATAATGCATGAAAGGATTCACACTGGCGAGAAACCCTATATGTGTAAACAATGTTGTAAAACCTTCAGTTATTCCAGTTCTCTCCGAATCCATGAAAGAACTCACACTGGAGAAAAACCCTATGAATGTAAACAATGTGGAAAGGCATTTACTTGTCCCAAATATCTTCGAATACATAAGAGATTTCACACTGGAGAGAAACCCTATAGATGTAATGAATGTGATAAGCCTTTCACAACTTCCAGTCACCTCCGAGTACATCGAAGAATTCACACTGGAGGAAAACTATGAATGTATAAAATGTGACAAAGCCTTTTTTTATTCCTGTGACCTCCAGAGGAATGAAAGATCTCACCCTAGAGAGAAGCCCTACAAATGTGATGTGGTAAGGCCTTTGTTAATTCTTGTTCCCTCAATCTGCCCAAAAAGTCATTGTGTAAAGAAAGCCTATGAATATAATCAGTGTGAGGAGGCATTTGCACATTCCTGTGCACTCTGAAGTAACTCAGGAAAAAAATCTCAAGCAAATAAGGTGGTGAGAACCAAGCTTGCTGCAGTGCCCTCATAGAGCTTGAAGAAACTCAGGGTAGAAGAAACGTGAGTATTAACCACATGAAATCTTCATTTATGATCTTTAGTGGCCTTAAAATTCACATTGACATGAAACCCTTTGTGGGGAAACTACATAGTAGGGGCATAAGTTGTTTCAGCCAGATTTAAGTACAGGGGTCTATCCACTGGAGAGAAACCCTTTAGACATATATAAACTATATGATAAGGCTTGAAGAATTGAGATACTGTTTCATTACAACAAAGTGGAAGGGACATAGAACCATGGTAGGGTTAAAAAACAATGTAAATATGACCATTTCTGCCCTGCTCTGTTCTGAATGAAACACTATGGCTAGTATATAATATGGATGAATCTGTCATATCACCCACCCTTTGGAGAAAGAAAACTTTTCATCTGCTAGGAACTTAATATGTTTAGTGTTGAAATTCATTCGAGCAATTTTGCTTCTTTTTTTTTTTTTTTTCTTTTCCCCATATCAGGGCTGGAACTCAGGGCCTTGTGCTTACAAGGCAGGCAGGGTGCCACTGAGCTAAATCCCAGACGTGATTTTGCTTATTTTCAAACAGAGCCCTAGTCAGCAAGAGCAATTTCTTTGTCTGTATCTCTCACAGTGGTTGAAACCAGGGCATTCATTATGAGAAACTTCTCCAGGCTTTATTTTTTATTTTGAGGTCAGTTACAGCTGCAAGGCTCTGCATTAATAGTTGTGAGGATACTGCCTCTGATTCCTTGAGTGCAAAGATTACAAGTCAGTGATGTCATGGGTGGCTGCAAGTTTTTTAGTCTAAGGAATATGAGAAAGACTCTTCCCTTCCTCCATAGAAAAGGTCATGGTATTAACCTTTGCAAACAACTGCCTATGCAGTGTGTGAAAGTTTTCAAATTTTCACAAAGACTTTTTAGTCCTCCAAAAATTGGCACTAAACAAAGCACTACAGAAAGATGAAGTCATTTCACATGTGCCACTTCAGAACATTATCTGTATGATCTATGATGCATGTCTATCTGTGACTCATTCTCCCATATTTTAGAGGTGAGAGCGTGGCAAAAAAGTGAAAGGTCAGTGTAGTTCTGCAAATTTGCACTCCATGTGTCTTGGGCAGCTAAGGGAGGAAGATAGGAAGTTCAAGTCCAACCTGTGCAACCTGGTGAGACCCTGTCTCCAAGAATTAAGAGATCCCGGAAAGTAGCTCAGAGTGCATCCCTGTGTTAAATGCCTGGTATGAGCAAAAATGTCAAAGGAGTGTTATTAAAACCTGTAGACAAGTAAACATGGTAGTAAACCTTTGGCACCGATTTCCTAGTTGTATCCTCACCTAAAGATTCATTGGAGATGGATATTTTAATTGTGAAATACCTGTAGACACATATGATATAGCACTGCTTTTTTTTTTTCTAACTAAATGCTCAAGCCATCATAGCCACCAGTATCAGCTCAGTGGAAGCTAAGAGATTTTATTGAATCTTTGAAACATATAGTTATAGAAAGTTAGTAGTTAAGGTTTGTGTTAGATGTGCTCCCAAAGCCTCATGCAGATGAGGTGGGACTTTCTTTTTCAGAGGTAATTAGATCTGGAATGTGTGGTGCTGGGGTTAAGGGTGTATGATTACTAAACCACTACTGTTGAGATTTTTAGTTTTGACCTAATCCCAGGAGTCTGGATGATATAAAAGGGGCGGGAGGACACTGTCACACTCTCTTGCTACCTTGTGAGGACCATGTCGTTTCTCCTCTGCAATGCCTGTTTGCCATCCCTTTCTGGAGGTCAGCTGATTATGGACTGAAACCTCTCTGAACTGTGAGTTAAGTAAACTTCTTCCCTTTTAACGTTAGGTAGTGCATATTTTGTCTCAGCAATGAAAAAAGTAACCAACACTTTAGGTTTTCTGTAGCCACCCTTTTGGAGGCCAACCTATGGGACTGGTCACAGATAATCAGTGGCCAAAGATTCCAAGGCTGGTAACTTACAGTATTCTGACATTTCTTTTTACTGCTTTCTTGGCCAACACATGAGTTAATAAAATGTTCAGGATGGGACAGCAAGCCCTACTCTGCCAAAATGCAGCTGCCACCAATCGTAAACAAGGTATCAATAAAGAAAGAAGCAGAGTTTCAAATAAGTGAAGCCAGCTTGTTTAAAGATGGGGAAAGGTGGAAGAAGATCATGGACAGCTACTCTGGCCAAGTGGAGAATTTTTAAAAGTGAATACCCCAGCACTTCTGTCCTTAAGCATCAGTCTGTGTTTGTGGGCTGGATTTCAGTAAAGGAAATGCAACCTTGAATACACAGAGCTAATGCAACGTGGTATCAAAAAAGGTACTTGCAGAATTTATATTTCGTCTAGTGATGCATACTAAATTTGTAAGAGTTTTTTCTTGGGTATGTTTTTCTGTACATGTTTTGTTACACAGTTTTATACCACTGGGCTATCACCTTACCTTGAGAAGTGACAACTAGAAAAGTGTGTTAATCCTCAAACTTATAATATTGTAATGCTAAAGTGTTAATCTACAAGGATATTGGAAGTCTGATTTGAGAGAATTTTCAAATAGATGTCTATGTGCAGTTTCCTTGATGGTAGGACTTCCTGTGGACCCTTGATATTTTATGCCCCTTCAATGTACCTTGCCCTCTGCCATGATTGTACATGGCTGTTTCTCTGTATCTTGTCCTGCATAATAAATGAGTCTCCATAATTAGTTTTCATTGATCTCTATACTACCATAGCAAAATCACACCAAAATTCATTCTAAGAACTTAATTTTGAGTAGCCCAGTATTATAACTGCATCTGAAGTGGTGGACAGTCTTCTGAGACTGACTGCTTAACCTTTCACTTTTCATGATATCTCCCAGTATGTGATCCCAATAGACATCTGAATGACTTCTGCACAATTTCTTGCTTGGTGTCTGAAGAGCTGTTATACATATGTTCAAAAATTATACTATATAGATTTTGCATGTTCATGTACAAAAGGTATTTGCTCCCTCTATCCCATGTTTGTAGTTTGGATGATGATAATGTTGAAATGTATGCATTACTCATTTGATGTCCAGAGTCACATCAATATAAAAAATTCCAATGAAAATTGCATTAAAAAATGTTCTAACATTCATATGGATTGTCTTTGTATTCTTAGTATTAACATTGTTAAGTGTTCACACTTTGTTGAAATCATAACATACACAGGAATCATGAAGATGTTGCTGAAGTTTCCTTATAGAATGACGGGTATGTAGCTCAGTGCTTGAGTGTTTTCTTACCATTGCAAACACCCTAAATCTGCTTACCAGAACCAACATCAACAGAATTAAACTAACATAGTACAGTAGTTTGCCCTGAAATCAATTTGTATTTTTGATCAAATGATGTTCAGCTAGGCTTGCCCTAGGTGCTCAAGGGAGACAGCTCTTAATCTCATTAAGAAGGATGTTTAGAAAACTGCATGCCAATCTCAAAAGTGTGAAGTTGGCCTATAGTTTCCGCTGTCAAAAAATTAGCTGAAATTAAGACCTTATACATAACACGAAAGGAATCTGAGGAATTCACAAGGGGAAAGTGTCAAGGCATTACATTTCACAATCCACCTGATGCTAATGATGAGGTCCATCCCTGTGATGTCATGATGTGGACAAAGAGACAGACACACGATTGCTCTGAGTGCATCTTACTAAATGACCACATCACGGGTCTTTTAAAATCTGCATTTTTAAAAACCAGGGATGAAACTCAGGACTTTGAATTTGTGAGGCAGGCCATGGCACCAATGAGCCAAATCCAGTGCCCTAAAATCTATCCTGAACGAAACCTTCACCATATTAAAAACTCAATGCATTAAGATTGGACTATGGAAAATGTATATTCAACACTGCCTGCCTCAGTTCTACTTTTGGCCTGGGTCACTCCTGTCTTTTTTTTTTTTTTTTTTTTAATATACAAGGAATTGAACTCGGGTCCTTGTGCTTGCAAAGCAGGCAGTGGAACCATTCAGCTAAATCCCCAGCCCAACATCATTTATTGTTAATGAAAGTTCACTAAAATCTTTTTCTTTCTTGAAATAACCGGAGCATTACTCACAATTTCTTTATACTTTCATGTTCTTTTGGAATACATACAGTGGAAGCAGTGTTGGGGACCAGGAGTAGGACACTGGCTGTAAAATGTATGTCCTGTGGAATTCCATATGGCTGAATAAAGGAGGAGACACTTGGAGATGCTCAAAGAATGTCAACTGAAACAGGTGATTGGAAGAAAGGAAGAGATATACATTTTGATGCCAAAATCAATCTATTTGTAGAGCAAACAAAACATAGACGTAGGAGTGTATAAAAAGGTGGAGAAGTCCACTGGGCTACCTGCAGGATATCTGCCTTTGCATAGCCCAGGAATCTCTCTTCTGGCAAATTCCCAAAAAGCTTATGGAACACTCCCCCACCCCCAGTAACATGGCAGGATGAAGGCACACAGGAAAGGGCTAGGCATTTAGCTCAGTGGCCCTTTGCCTGCCTCTCAAGTTTGAGGTCCTGAGTTTGATCCGCCTATGGAAAAAAGTAAAAAATAAAATTAATAAAGGCACACAGGATACAATTGTGGTACATGCTTCCTAGCCTCTTTTTCCCGCCTCAAAAAAGATACTGCATCTCACCTGTACATCTCAGCACATACAGGAGTGAATGATGGGATGCTTTTTCCTCAGCATTGGTCTACCAGTTCTCTGATTATGAGAGAATAACACTCAACTTCTGACTGAGTTTGTCATCAGCAGTATTGGACTCAGCTGCCCAGTTCACATATGAGAGGAGCCTGGAACCTAGAGAGTCAGTCTGAGAGTGAGGAAGCCCAGAGCCCTGTGAGGAGAGACTTGCAGTGGAGCAGAGCAGAGCAGAGCAGTGAATGCTGCATGATGAAGTAGCTAATTGTAGCCTTTAGAGATTGCAAGGAGAGAGACCAGGTGGTGGGAAAAGTGCTTTGACCTAAGACTCACCCTCCCACCCACTCTCAGTGTTAGAGTTACATCAGTGGAGTGGGACAGAGGAGACTGCAAGGGCCGGGATGGATCAACTGAATACTAGAGGTGAAGCAGCCATGGATGTCTTTGTTCCAGTGCCTTCATTCTTGAATCTCCACAGCACGTGGATGTGTAACAGCTGCAGATACACAGGGCAAGCAGACGTGGGTGGACCGCTGGGGATATCCAGAGAGTTGCAGGCTGCACACTTGGCCTGAGACTCCACAGCCAGAAGCCAAGCTCAGCCTGCAAGTCTGTGGAGCTGTGAGGAGTTAGTGTAGCATAGCTTTGAGATCTAACAGATACAAGCATAGAAATGTGTACACCAGGGTATAGCTGTAGGTTTTTCATCGGAGAAATTTCATCCTTTTTCTGGTTTTATTTTTATCATTTGCTTTTTTTCTCTTTTTCAACCTCTCTCTTTTTTTTTTAACCTGTGTGACAATTTTCTCTTAATTTTTCTGGTATAGTTTTGTCTTCTTTTAGTTTTTCCTTTATTCTTTCTCTCTGGTCTTCTCCAGATTTCCAAAGCTTGGGTTATCTACCTCTGTTCTTCATCCTTGCTTCTCATATCTTTCTTTATTTCACTTTTCCCCTTTATCCCTCTTATACCCCATTAGGATCACTCAAATTTTGCCAATTTCATTACATACAAGTCTTAGTTTGTGTTTGATTTTAATATAGATCTTGTTATATTTAATGATACCAAAATAATAGTTGCCACAGTTTGTTGGTTTGTAGGCTATGCTTGATGGTGGTATTATCACTAATTCTACTGGTTTAACCAGGGTGTCATTCCAACTGTTCTTGCTTGTATAACAACACTGTGCTGTCATAAACATTACCATTGTTCAGTACCAAAAGCCTGAGTGCAGGGCCATATAGACCACAACCTGTCATCCCTAATAAATTGGAAAGGAAGGATCTTAGGACAGAGTCAACAAGATCCTAGAAGACTTCTGTAAAGAATAGTCATTTCCTAGGGATGTGTCAATACTAGTGATAAAGCTATCTCCATAAGTAACTTATAAGCCTTAACACAGATAACAAAAAAATGCTGATATTGAAGATAGCTAATTTTGATAGAAATTATTGTAAGTCAGGTAGACAGAGCTGGGACCTCAGGATAAAAAAAGAATGCACTGATCACATTGTGAAAAGAAAAAAGGTGCCCCAACTATTTTCTCTGGGGATGAACAGCAATGGTTGATATTCTAAATAGGCATCAGTTTCCCTAGCCCATTTCATTCCAGAAATTGTTGTTCATTGCATATATATGCTTGGTACAGGACTAGCTTTTTTTTTTTTCTCATCTAGTTTATTGGTACTTTTTAGGTATTCAGTACAGATGCTTTCATCACTGGGATCTTGTACCTTTAAATGACAGGTCATGGTTCTTATTTTTTCTCCATACACCGGCCCTTCCTTAACCCCCTCCACCGTTCCCTATTTATAAAGACTTGGTTTCCATTCCTTTGTTTTTATATTCTACGAAAGAGTCCTTTGTCTCAGGAGCAGCTAGTAAGAATTTTTCTCACATTGTAGGTTGTTTCTTAGCTCTCTTGGTGTTTACTTTTGCAGTGCAGAAATTTTTTTTTTCAGCTTTGAGTTTATTGGTACATTTTAGGGATACAGTACAGTTACATTCATTGTTGGGATCTTGTATCTCTACATGACAAGTCTTGATTCTCATTTTTTCCCCTTACCTCTGCCTTCCCTTCACCCCCTCCTCCCCTCCCCATCTACAAACACTTTATTTTCATCTTTTCATTCTCTCGCATTTTTTTCTTTTCCCTTTTTACTCTTCCCAGAAAGTTTTTAATAAGATGAGATTCCCGTTGTTGATTCTTTGTGCT